GCTACATGCAAATTTGGGCTTTCAGGAACAAATCCAAAAATTGATCAACCGTCATGTTTTGCCTTTTTCATCATGGTTTTGCCACTAAGTGGAGACAATTTATGAAGGGCTCAACAATGGGGAGACATGGTCTTTTTTCCATGTTATTTCAGATCAGATATTTGACCTTGAAAAGGGCTTTACTAGAATCGCTAGTCCCACAGGAGGTTAACAGAGAATACAAGATGTTATAAAATCACATTTTCCTATTAATCATAACTATGGAATGTTGTCATTTTTTTCCTATGTTGCAGTACAAACTGTCACTTCTATTTCTCACATATGGAAAAGAGACTTAACATAACCAAAGCTATATTAATTACCATTCAACTTTGATTTACAGAGGCTGACAAAAAAAAAAAATCATCCACCAGAAAGAATCTTTTAAAAATGATGAGGTTGTAAATTGTTGGCATCAATGTATTGAAAAGAGGAAACTAGTGACACGGAAGGTATGAAGATGTGGTTGCCTGTTATACACACAAATGGCAGTCCCTGTTGCAAATGAGCTGGGGAATACGAAGAGCAGCAGTAAGCTTACAGACACAGCTTGTGAATACCTGAGAGAAACAGAAAGGGGAATGTTTTGAAACAGTCTAAGTGAAGCATGATAGCGGCACGGACTAGGGTCGTGTCAGTGGGTAAGCCTGAGATATTCAAGGACTGTAACCTATAGGACTGGATGGGTTGGATGCAAACAGCAGAAGAACAATGTGTGGGTTTTGCTTTGGGTTCTACATCGATGATGCTGGAAAGAATGGGGAAAAAGCAAATTTTCGGTCAGGGAAAATTAATAACTATTTCCAGATACCATCATTTGAAACAGCTATTAGAAACCTAATAGGAACTATTGACTAAGCAGGAGAGACCCAAGACTGGAGCTCAGAGTGGATATTGAGGGAAAGATTTAATTTTGGAAATCATATAAATGGACAACCTTCCCTTAGGAAAAGATATTTAGGGAGGAAAGAAAAATTCCTTGAATTTTTGTAAAGAATCTTATGTGGATTATGACCATTTTATTCCTCACTTTCCAATGTTTATTCCTTCCAGGAACATGCTAAGTAAAAGTGGTTTTAGCAGGAACCCTTGTTTGCACCTAATCTTAAGGATAGACTTTCAATATATGTTCATTAAATATTCTTTTTTCCTGTAAGTTATCTTGTAGATAACATTCCTTAGGTTAAGGAGTTCTTGTAGCTTTCTAACACTTCTTTTTTTCTTTTTCTTTTTTAATTGTGAATAGATACTGAATTTAATTGTGAATAGAGACTGAATTTCCTCTCAAATGCTTTTTGTTTGATCCACTGAAATCACAACAGTATTTTCTCCTTTTACATGGTTATCTGTTTCTGGAATAATTTCAACTTTGTGGTGATATATCATTTATTAAATACACTGTTTTGCTAATATATATTTTTCAACTGCATCAACTCAATTAAATTGGCCCTTAATTATCATTTCTAATACTATCCTTAATGAATTTTGTTTCAAGCCTATGTCAGCCCCACAAAATGAGGTGGGTGGACAACTTTCTCATTCTATTCTCTAGAAAAAATATGCAAAATGAGAAGTATGTGCATTTTGAATGACTATAGTAATCTGTTTGTAAAACATTCTGGGAAATCCTCAGTTACTTTTCCTGGAAACAAAGATAATACAAACCGGTTAGGAAGATGGGAAATGGGCGCTCAAGGTCAGTGAGGATCATCAGTCTGGGAAGTACCGATTACTAGTGGCTGATGTTCTTTTGAGTATTTTTTTAATCATAACAACCCTATAGATTAGTTTCTCTTATTATCTTCATTTCATATACTGAAGAACTCAGATTTTAGAGAATTTAAGAAGCCTGAGTCATACAGGTAGTATAAAGTAGAATGAAGATTTAATCAAAGATGGTCTCATTCCAGAATTTGCAATATTAATCTCTGAAAATTTTATTTTAAAAGGACAAATTAATGAAAGTAAATTGTTTTTCTATAAATCTATTTGAGTTTATTTTGTTCTTAAGAAATTTGCCTGATATAAATGATCAAATTATCTGTGCAGTATTTTTTTATGCTATTGAGTCTCATAATTTTTAGGATACTTGGTTTATATTGAGAAACCTTTTATCATAACTATTATTCTACTCAGGATTTTATTCTTTCTCTCTTAAGACGTAAGATGTTTACCTCCCTCTCTTGAAATGAGTATGAGCAACAAAATAACAAGCATGTCTGCTGCTGAAATCATGTCTATATGGACTTTTCCCTTGTGAATATAATCAAGGTATGCATTATTTTAATTGTAATAGCATAATAATAGTACAATATTTAACTCAATAGTATAACAAATAATTTACTGTAATGAAAGACTATTCTCATTTTGCTCAGGAGAACAGGATAAATAAATGATCTGAATGGTAGACCTGCATAAAGTAATAGTTGCTAGGTTGCTACATTGTCTTTGTTTCTAATATTTTATATATTCACAATTTGATTAAAATTTCCATTCTTCATTTTTTAAAAACATGGATTTACTTTTAAAAATCTATAAATTGTAGTCATTGTAGAAGTTTCACAATTTAGGGTATATTGAAGAGGCTATTTAAATAAGTAGAAATAAAAAATAAAAATAACTCATTTCCTATCTTGTGGTAATTAGATATGATATTTAACATGAGAACACAAAGACACAAATATAATGAATATTACCAAATAAATGTGGTTTAAGATTAAAGCAATTATTACTTTATTATGAAAATGATACGAGTTATCTATTGCTGGGTAACAAATAAATACAAAACTTAGGGACTTAAAACAACTGAAATTTTATTTCTCAAAATTCTACACATCAAAGCAAGTCATAAGGCCAGCCCATATTTAAGGGGTGAGAAAATACATTTCAGCTCTTCATGAAATAAACTGCAAAGTACCATCAGAACAGGACAGACAAAGGGAATATGGTTCGTTGGAGGCCATTAATTTAACAATCTACCACACAAACTGACAGTTTGATAAACTGCTTCTTTGAAAGGTAAAGGCCATAAACTTTTTAACTTCATTCTGAGATATAAAATATATTATAATGGTTTGAAAGTCTCATATATCACCCCAAACTGTTTTTTATGGCACTTGAATGAAGATAGGACTCTTTCATCCTTTTACAATATAAAGAGAGCCCCTCTGAGATGTTGTAATCTCAGCCATAAAAGAATACAGACATTATTAAAAGGAATTTCATCAGTTGCCATAAATGAGAAATATTGAGATAGTTATTGCAATAAAGCTTTTAAATATTCATCAATTTAAGCGAGGTGATCAAAATAATGGTAAAATAAGAATATTAAAAAGAATCAATGCAAATAGTCTTTGTAATTTTTTGTTTGTAGTAACAGACTTTTTCAATTAATTTTATGTATCTGTTGTGAGGATAACAATGGCTGGCTGGCTCAAGAACAGAAAAAAGAATCAGAGTTCACTCTGAATTTTAAGACATTCCAAATTACAAACTGTCCTCTGAAACTACATATTGTTTTAAGATCCACATTCAATATCCATTTACTGAACACCTGATCTGTTTCAGACACCATTTAACCCTTACTTCTGATCCTAGCCAATGGAAAAGACACAGCATGTATATTATGGCCATTTAACAGGAGAGGAAAATAAGCCTAAAATACTAATTGGCCTACCTAAATCTGAAGTGGTGGCACTCAAATTTAAATTATTTTTAGGAATTCTACCTAATGCTTGACGTCATTACTGCTTTCCTTAAATTTTTTACCATAGCAACATTATCAGGTATGATGAAAGCTTTGCAAAAATATTCCTTTTGCTAAGTATAATAAGAATAAGGCAGCTTATTTACAAAGAGCCTTTAGATAAACAACTGACAGTTCCTGAATATCAATTACATATGTAACAGGAGTATTTACATGTGTTTTTCCATTTGATTTCACAAAGTCCTTCACAGAGGAGGTGCTGTTATTTTTAATTTTCAGTGTAGGAAAAAGGCTTAAACCTTAGCGCCATTTAAGCTATTTAAATCAGATTCTCTGTGATTAGTACTTGAAAAGAAAACTTCCAAAGAGATACTAAAATGCAGCCACTGATGTTATTAGTAGCAAGTCTAAAAGATAAAAGAGCAAGTTGAATAACAATAACTTCATTATTTAAAAATTTCTTATTGTTTATCATTTTTAATTTAAATATCATACTAATAGGCAAGTATTTTAGGATATGTGAACAAATATTCTGAAGGAAATACATTTTGCAAACACAATTAAAATCATTTACATTTTAAAGAATCTTGAAGCTTTAGACTATTAAGGTAAAATACAACGTTAAAAAACAAAAAAAGGTGTATGAATTACTACCTGGGTCAAAATTAGCAACTACAGAAGCATTTAAGAAAATAATTCAGTGTAATTTTACTGTTCAATTTCCTAACGTTTAAAGTATAATCTCATGTGAATAATTACTTTAAAAACAATGCCACCATAAAAAATTCACGTGTCCTTCTCTTGAACTGTTTCAAAATCTCTGCCAAATTAAATCTATTTAAATATACTTGGATACATTTTGATATATTACTCTACTGAATGGTAAGTTTATATGTATATTAAATCTATAGCAAGGTATTAACTATGTTTAAATATATATATAACAATAGATATAGCATTTGAAACCTGTGTCTATATTATGCCCAAAAGTATCAGTGCTAGTCTAGGCTTCCCAAAGTATCCAGTAAATTCAGTTTCCAAAATCACTAAGTTATATAAAAAATAAAAGATTCACAATAAAACATTATTTTGTCACAATTTGGAGTAAATTCTTGTATAACAAGTAGATGATAAAAAGGAAACCATTCTATTCTATAAATTATATTAATTTGCTACTAACTTCAGAGACATAACTCTTACTACCATAACTGGAGCTTGAGGTAATTCAAAGTATTTCATTTGAAATTAAACTTACCAGCAAATTTTATATGGAATTTATTTTCAGGCTTTAATATCTGAACATACAAAGGGCAATTTGGAGCAAAATCCTTTACAGCCCATGCTCTCAAAATTGTTTGGTGGTCCTGAAAGGAAAAATATCAAAATACATGAAATAATTTGTAAAAATTATAATATATAAAGTATAAGTCATGAAACAGTGTGTTAAAAAGTCACATCCACTGTGCAAAATTAAACATATAAAAAATTCATTGTGAGGACTTATTTTTAAAGATATTATTTCTACAAAATTAGCAATACCTAATCCAATCAGTGCTAATTGCCAGCACTTAAAAAAGTAGCAGAGATTAAGGGGGGAGTCTCTTGAAAAGCTTAAAAATAATTTTCCCAGAAAATAGATGAGGGTCAGAAGGCTTCAGAAATACAGCACAACAAACAATTTGTATTAACAGTTTCCATGGGAAAAATTATAGTTTTATACTATTTTTCACATGCTTACAAAGATTGGTAAAAGGAGAACAATTACAGTGAGTATACATTTAGAAAACACATTTTACTTTTTTAGGTAACAGTGAAGGTAACAGGATTTTGACTGTATTTGTGTGTGTGTGTGTGTGTGTGTGTTAGAAGAGATCAATAACTCTCAGATATAAACATAATTGAAAAAATTTATAAAGAAGATGCTAAGACTGAGAAAGGGAGAGAAGATCATGCCAAACATGAACTCTTACACATAGTGTCAAGCCATAAATTATTATTAATTAACTGACTAAATCAAAGTAATAATTAGAGACATAGACCAGGATAGCTAACACATTTTGACAAAGGAAGTAAAAACACATTCAAAGACAACACTATCCATATGGTAAACGTTACCCAAATGTGGCTGTTTAAATTCAAATTAACTAAAATTGAGAATTCAATTCCTCTGTCACACTAGCCACATTTCAAGTGTTCACAGCCACATGTGGCTAACTCAAAGCTATATTGGACAGTGGGGCTATAGAGCATTTCCACCATTGCAGAAAGTTCTATTTGACAGTGCTGTTAGGGAAAGAAAAGGAGGATTAAAAACATAGGCAGATATGAGAGAATGTTTATAGAGTGCAGAAATATTTTGTCAATGACTGGTGACTTTAAATTGCATGAAAGTTGATGAACAGTAAACCAGCATGCCTTAAGTAGACAATGTGCATTTTCCAGGCAAACACTCGAAATATGAACATGAACCTAATAAGATGTGATGGCTAATTTTATGTCAACTTGACTGAGCCCCAGGGTGGCCACGAAGAATAAACATTATTCCAGTTGGGTGGGAAACCCCCAGAAAAGGGACAGATAAAGAACAGAAACCACAAATTCTGTGTGTAAATGTATAATTGACCGACCTTTGAACCATGCATGGGGCAGAATGAAAGCATACTCAACTGAGACGTGTATCACTGCCAACTGTGAGGGTGGTAAGAGTTTGCATTTTGAGTTGAACTAAATCAACTGCTGTGCTAAAACAAGAAAATCAGCACTTGGTGGGAATATAAGAACATCCAAGTCTCCATAACAAATCCAGAATGCATTGCAAAATATATTAAATGCCAGGAAAATGTGACGTATTTTCATGGGAAACAATCAAAACAATATCCAATAGACATTGGCCTCTAGATGTTCTAAATGCTTGAATTATCAGACAAGGACTTAAAGCAGTTACTGTAAGGTCTGATGAGGTAAAGGAAATAAGCTTGTAATCAAAAAACACTCAGTAGAATAATAGAAAATATTTTTAAAATTAAAAGCTAAAATATCTGAAAAATATTACTGGATGGGCTTTGAAGTAGAATAGAAACAACACGGGAGTCAGGAAACTTGAGAATTTATCCAATTTGAGAAACAAACAGAAAAGAAATGGAAAGAGAAACAGAATTCAGTCACATGAAACAATGTAAAAATGTCTTACATTCTGTAATTGTATTCCCAGGAAGAAAACAAGAAACAGAACAGAAAATGATTTGAAAAAATAATGGCCAGAAACTTTCAAATTTTGCAAAACAAACACATAATTTTACAAGTTCTCAGCCAATCCCAAACTACATAAACAAAAAGGTTACCATACCAAAGCACATGGCAATCAAATTATTGAAAAACAAAAATAAAGATAATATTTTGAAAACAGCCAAAGAAAAACAGTCATATAACCAAGGAAATTCATCTGAAATTATGGAAACTAGTTGACGGAACAATACCCTGAAGTTCAGAATGAGGAGGAAAAAAAAATTAAGCCAGAATTTCATATAAAAAAATCCTTTTTTATACCTTCATAGAAAAAAAACTTAAATAAGGGACTTTTCAATTACTGGAATCTAAGAACATATTTTGCAATCAGGATTGTACTACAAGAAAAGTATAAGAAACTTTTTTATACTGAAGGGAAAAGACTCAAAGGAGAAGTTAAAACTTCAGAAACCAGGGAGGAATATCAGAAATGATCGATATTTGAGTGAACCTAAAAGATTATTTTTCCCCTTAATCTCTTGAAAATACACATACCTGTATTAAAAAAATGTGCAGTGTTGTCTTGTGGGGTTTCAAATTTGTGAAGATAATTTATATCTGACAATTGTAACATACAGGACAATAGAAGAAGAATACATGCAAAGTTTCTCATTTTAACAAGTTGCTCAATATTAATGTGAAAAGTTAAGTTTGCATAGTATAATCCCTAGAGCAGATATTAAAAAGTTCAGGAGGTATTTTTAAAAACAATAGGCATATTAAAGTTTAATTCCCAAAAAAATTTTTAAAAAAGAAAGAAAAAAGTTGAATCCCCAAAAGAAAAAAAATCAAATAATAAAAAAGTAAGAAAGCAAAAACAAGGGAACAAAAAAATGGTGGGGTAAAGCAGAAAATAATTAAGTTAAACCTACATTCAAGCATATAAATGATGATGACATCAAATGTGAATGGACTAAACATATTAAAACATAAAGAATAGCAGAAGGACAAAAAAGGTTAAATGAAACTGTAAAATCTATTTAGGAGACATGTATTTTAAAATATGAAAAGTGACTGATAGGATGAAAGAAGTAAAATGAGCTTTAAAGTCACAAATGCTAGCTCTAATCTCACTCTAGAAATTACAAACTATGTAAATAGAGAAAAGTTACAAGACAAATCAGATTCCTGGGATAGGAGGTTTGATCAAGTTGTAAAATGGATTAGAAAGCATGCTCTTCTTATTTTACTTGACCCTTGGCAACAGTGGCAACACGTACACCACTGGCTCCCTAGAATGTTCTCTGACACCATGTCCCCGGTTGTCCTTTGACCTTCTTATCCCAAATTGAACTCATCTTCCTGCTGGTAATTCTTCCTTTTCCCAGAGATGGATACTCCCAAACACCAAATTCTAAGCTTCTCTGTCTCCCTTTCCCCTGTATTTAGTCCTCAAAGCCTGTTGAAGATGCCTTCTAAACACTGCTCTCATATGTCCCCATCTCTCCCACCTCACAGCCACAATTCAGCCCAAATGACTGTCACTTCTGGCTTGAAGTAAAGTCAGCAGCCTCCAAGTCAGTCTGCCTATGTCAAGTTTTGTATATATTCTTTTACTAATTCTGCATTCTTATTAAAATAATATCTTATTATTACCCTTTGGATCTAAACTCTGATCATTGCATACGAGTGTTTAAAATATTACAGTGGTTTTATTACTCTTAGCATCAAGTTCAAACTTAAAAAGGCTTGCGAGACCCTTATTAAAATGTCTCCAAACTAAATCCCCACCCTATTCTCCATTGATAATGAATTCTCCACTCTTGACCTTTAGGAATTCTGACATGGAATGATTTGCCTGGAACCACTGTCACTTATTCTAGTCCTTTCTTCTAACCGAAGTTCATTGCTGTTTTTGCCCTATTATAACATTAACCCCATCTAATTTCTAAAAGTTGATCCCCATTAAACTGTAAGCTCAATGAAAAAAAAGGCCATGTCTATATTTTATTTACACTAAGCACATCCCTAGCACCTATCATTTGCATTTCACATGTGAATAAAACATTTATTTCATAGGAGATATAGAAGCATTGAATAAAATAATGTGAAGAACATCAGACACACAGAAAGCATTTATTTAGTAAGCATTATTTAGTAAGTATTTCAATGCAATGGTTAAAGAAGGACTCATTCTAAAGGTCCATAGTTCTTCCTGGTTTTGTTCATGCATCATTCCCATCAACATATAACAAACATCTATGATTCTGTGAGTGGAGCATTAAGTGAGGAAATGGAAAAGAGATCAGTATATTATGTCACATGAAATAGAAAATATTTTCCTAATACAGATAATAAAACTGTCACAGAAACAAGATTTTTAATTCATTCTTCTAAAAGCAGAGGCTAAAATTGTTTTTTTTTTACTTTCCTTGCTGAAAAATTAATCCTTAAATAAGATATTCTTTATTTAATTATAAATCAAAAGTAAAAGTATCTACTATGACAACTTGGAAATAAACAGCCTATAAAATAATGGAAGATCAGAGGCGGAGCCAAGATGGCAGCGTGAGCAGAGCAGCAGAAATCTCCTCCCAAAACCACATATATCTATGAAAATATAACAAAGACAACTCTTCCTAAAATAGAGACCAGAGGACACAGGACAACATCCAGACCACATCCACACCTGCAAGAACCCAGCGCCTCGCAAAGTGGGTAAGATACAAGCCCCGGCCCAG